TCCTGCCAGTAGTCATATGCTTGTCTCAAGATTAAGCCATGCATGTCTCAGTGCATGCCGAATTAAGGTGAAACCGCGAATGGCTCATTAAATCAGTTATGGTTCATTAGATTGTACCCACATTTACTTGGATAACTGTGGTAATTCTAGAGCTAATACATGCAAAACAGAGTCCCGACCAGTGATGGAAGGGACGCTTTTATTAGATCAAAACCAATCGGTGGCGGGCGGCTCGCCGTTCGTCCACCGTTTATTTTGGTGACTCTGAATAACTTTGTGCTGATCGCACGGTCCTAGCACCGGCGACGCATCTTTCAAATGTTTGCCTTATCAACTGTCGATGGTAGGTTCTGCGCCTACCATGGTTGTAACGGGTAACGGGGAATCAGGGTTCGATTCCGGAGAGGGAGCCTGAGAAACGGCTACCACATCCAAGGAAGGCAGCAGGCGCGCAAATTACCCACTCCCGGCACGGGGAGGTAGTGACGAAAAATAACGATACGGGACTCATCCGAGGCCCCGTAATCGGAATGAGTACACTTTAAATCCTTTAACGAGGATCCATTGGAGGGCAAGTCTGGTGCCAGCAGCCGCGGTAATTCCAGCTCCAATAGCGTATATTAAAGTTGTTGCGGTTAAAAAGCTCGTAGTTGAATCTGTGTCGCACACCGTCGGTTCACCGCTCGCGGTGTTTAACTGGCGTGATGTGGGACGTCCTACCGGTGGGCTTAGCCTCGCGAGGGGCGGCCCAACTAATATCCCGTCGCGGTGCTCTTTACTGAGTGTCGAGTCGGGCCGGTACGTTTACTTTGAACAAATTAGAGTGCTTAAAGCAGGCTACCTTCGCCTGAATACTGCGTGCATGGAATAATGGAATAGGACCTCGGTTCTATTTTGTTGGTTTTCGGAACCCCGAGGTAATGATTAATAGGGACAGATGGGGGCATTCGTATTGCGACGTTAGAGGTGAAATTCTTGGATCGTCGCAAGACGGACAGAAGCGAAAGCATTTGCCAAAAATGTTTTCATTAATCAAGAACGAAAGTTAGAGGTTCGAAGGCGATCAGATACCGCCCTAGTTCTAACCATAAACGATGCCAGCTAGCGATCCGCCGAAGTTCCTCCGATGACTCGGCGGGCAGCTTCCGGGAAACCAAAGCTTTTGGGTTCCGGGGGAAATATGGTTGCAAAGCTGAAACTTAAAGGAATTGACGGAAGGGCACCACCAGGAGTGGAGCCTGCGGCTTAATTTGACTCAACACGGGAAACCTCACCAGGCCCAGACACCGGAAGGATTGACAGATTGATAGCTCTTTCTTGATTCGGTGGGTGGTGGTGCATGGCCGTTCTTAGTTGGTGGAGCGATTTGTCTGGTTAATTCCGATAACGAACGAGACTCTAGCCTGCTAAATAGGCGTACCCTATGGTATCGCGGAACTTTTGAAAGAAAATCTGCCCGATTTTTTAGAAGAAGTGCCACTATTTGAAAGAAATAAAATGTTCTTTCAACAAGACGGTGCTTGACCACACAACGCCAGGATTGTAACAAACTACTTGAACGAGCAGTGTTCGAGATTCGAACGGTAATAACCCGCGGACAAGAAAGCGTTAAAATATTCATGCATCTCGATCATGCCTCATGCAGCATGCATATAATTTATTAATTAATATCGTGGTCTAACATGCGTATTTTAAATTATATTTAAATTAGCGCTCGGCCGCGAGAGTATACGGATACTCCGCGCCTTCGAAAATAAGCGCTTAAAACAGTCTAAATTGTAAACACCGCTGTCGCGCGAGAGGAGAGAAAAACAAGTAAATAATTACAGTAAACGTTCCTTCACCCTTAATATCACAATAGAACGACAGCAAATGTACTCGAATATTCTAGAATTACAAGGCGTATATAAGCCTCCTCTCTCGCGACCGCGGCGCTTTTTCCGATTGCTCATCGCGAATAAAGTGTGTTCATACGATAAAGATTGCTTGTCTTTGTCTAATTCATTACCGTTGCTTGCGGACACTTAGTAATTTACGACTCGGCTAATTCTCTCGGTAAATTCGGTGCGGTATATTAATTGTAATTTTTGTTAATAGTTTATATAAATATATTTTTTTTGTGAACGTTACGCGTGTGTCGAGTGTTGTGTCTATTTCTCGGTCTCGCTTCCGACCACGTCCTATCCATCTTTCCGTCGCGCACATTTTTTGGTCCTTCGAGCCGGATTCCTCCGGAACCTCCTGTGAATCCGGTGCCACGGAAGCGATTGTGATTGAGTGTCGGTGACCAGTGCTTCTGGAACAGAGAAACATTGTTAGAAATGACAGACACGAAGGCGATCATTGCCACCGCCACGGTGCTGTACGGCAAGATCTCGCGCGCGTTCGAGAACCTGCGGAAGCTCGGCGAGGCCAATATGACCCTCGGCGCGGTGGAGGCCCGGCTTCAAAATCTCGAGAAGCTATGGGATAAATTCGACGCTCTTAATGATACGTTAGCCGATCGGGTTGACGAAATAAAGCATGAGGTCTACGCTAAACAGGACATCCCGTCCTTAGGCGAGGAAGCTTACCTGCTGAACAAGGGCCTCATGCTCGATCTGAAGAACGCTCTCCAGCTGCAGCTACAGGCTGCCAGCTCTACCGCGGCCGCGACAACTAGTCCCGCTCCTCGGACAGCGCTGCCAAAAATCCAACCGCCTACCTTCGCCGGGAAATACGAGGATTGGCCTTCATTCCGGGATCTGTTCCAATCCCTCATCGGCCGGAATCAGGCAGCAAAACCTGTGGAGAAGTTACACTACTTAAAACTTTGTGTGAAGGGTGACGCCGATCTGCTGATTCGTAACCTCAGCACCACAGAAGACAACTATGAAATCGCCTGGAAAACTCTAAGCGATTATTACGAGAACAAAAGATTGCTGACTCGTAATTATCTGAATAATTTCTTAGCGTTGACCAAGATGAAAAGCGAATCCGCCGCTGAATTGAGGAGGCTTTTCCATGGAGTAAAAACAACTGTCAGCTCCCTGAAGAGCATAGACCGACCGATAGACCGCACGGAGGATCTCTTCGTCCACCTCGTCGTAGAGCTCCTCGACAGCCGCTCTAGGCGAGAATGGGAGAGTGATATAAGTCACACCACGAGTCCGCCAAGCTACGCCTCGCTTGAGGCCTTTATAGAACGTCGGCTCCATACGTTGGAGGCGCTGTTTCCGGCCAGGAACGACAGCAGCAGCTCCAGCACTACGAAATCAACGAGGAGCCACCACGTCAAAGGCCAAGATCCAAAAGAGAAGTCCAGAAGCCGGTGCTCCATCTGCCAGGGGGACCACTTTGTTATATTCTGCGGCGACTATAAGGATAAGACGGCGATGGCGCGTAAGCAGCTCGTCCGTGAGCATAAGCTCTGCTCAAACTGCCTTGGCCGGCATCAATCTTCCGAGTGCTCTTCGAAGAAGACGTGTACAGCGTGTGGCAGTCGACATCACTCCTCGCTTTACGATGCATTCCGGGAAGACGAGGCCGCCACGACGTCTCACGTGGCTCAAGGCGCAGACTCTTCCTCCGCAACGGTGCTGCTCGCTACGGCTAGGGTCCGCGTCCTCGACTGCCACGGAAGCTGGCAGTCCGCTCGCGCTCTGATCGACCAGGGCTCCGAATCCTCCATCATTTCGGAGCGATTAGCGCAGCGCTTACGACTCCCTAGAAGAGCAGCCGCCGTTAGTGTCTATGGAGTCGGAGAGAAAAGGACCGGAGTGACAAAGGGGAAGGTGAGACTCACCCTGCAGTCGCGCAGAGGGGAATCGCCCACCTTCGTCAACGCTTTGGTGCTGCCGAAGTTGACGCTGTTTTCCGGAGGATGCCGCAGCAGTAGACGAACCTGGACCCATCTGGAGGACCTGGAGCTCGCCGATCCGGAATTCTGCTCCTCGGACCCCGTCGACATCCTACTGGGAGCCGACGTATATGGGACCATCATCCGTCAGGGTCTACGAAAAGGAGGTTCTAAGGATCCAGTAGCTCAACAAACCTCGTTGGGCTGGATTCTCTCAGGTACAGTTAGCTCGACGGCGCCCAGCCAACACATCTCCGCTCATCACTGCCAAATCGAGGAGGACATCACCTGCTTGGTGCGGCGGTTCTGGGAGCAGGAGGAAGTCCACCGGCCATCTCCGACCCTCACCAAGGCGGAACTAGAGTGCGAGGAGCACTACCGCCGTCATCACTCGCGCTCTCCTGACGGCAGGTACATAGTGCGGCTGCCAACGATCGAGCCTCTCCCGGATCTGTCTGGGACTCGTCGCGCCGCCAGTCGTGCTCTGCAACAGACGGAGAAAAGGTTAGAGAAAGATGCCGACTTTAAGGACATGTACGTAGAGTTCATGCAAAAGTACAAGGAACTGCGACATATGATGCTTGCACCAGCGCCAGCTGAGCCACAACGAGGTACCTGTTACCTGCCGCATCACGGGGTCCTGCGTCCGGACAGCACTTCCACTAAGCTGAGGGTCGTGTTCAACGGCTCGAGCTCCTTGCCGAACGGGGACTCTCTCAACCAATTTCTTCTGACTGGACCGAATCTGCTTCCTGCGCTGGCTGACATCCTGCTGCGTTGGCGACGCCACAGATACGTCTTCGCTGCCGATATCGAAAAGATGTATCGGCAGATCCTAGTGCATCCGGACGATCGAAGCCTGCAGCGAATCCTGTGGAGAGACGACTCTAAGAACGACGTCCAGGAGTTCTGGCTATGCACGGTCACTTACGGGCTCTCATGCGCCCCGTATCTGGCCATCCGTACCTTACGCCAACTCGCCGAGGACGAAGAGCATCGCTTTCCGAAAGGCGCCGACATCCTGCGGAGCGATGTCTACATGGATGACATCCTGTCCGGTGCCAAGAATCAAGAGGAAGCAGAATCTATGGTGAGGCAGCTGACAAATATATGCACGGCGGGCGGGTTCACACTAAAAAAGTGGTCTACAAACGCCTCCTACCTGCTGAGCCTCGTGGAACCGGACGCGCGCCTGCAACAAGAGGCCAGATGGTGGCTGCCCGGCGAGAGTCATTCCACTCTCGGCCTTCGATGGCAACCGTGCGACGACCGCTTCGCCTTCGCCACCCACCGGATCACTCTCTCAGCGGTCACCAAAAGGTCGGTCCTTTCTTTGACGGCCAAATTATTCGATCCACTCGGCTGGCTGTCTCCAACGACTGTGCTGGCCAAAATCAACATCCAGGCTACCTGGCTACTAGGTCTCGACTGGGACGCGTCTCTGCCAAGCGAGGAAGCCAGAAAATGGCTGCGATTCCAGGAGGAGCTAGCGGCATTGGAGAAACTAGTCGTGCCTCGTTGGTTAGGAGCCCTAGCTGACTCCCATCAAGAGGTTCACGGATTTGCCGATGCCTCCGAACGTGCCTACGCCGCAGTCATCTACCTGCGAACAAACACAAACGGAGTTAGGAGAGTGACTTTATTAGCTGCGAAGACCAAGCTCGATTGGTCGCCCACGTCGTGCCTCTTATTGGCGCAGAAAAGGCGCCTCTCCATCTGTGGTCGGATTCCACCGTGACTCTCGGCTGGATCCGGGGCCACCCTTCGTCCTGGGTCACTTACGTCGCTAATCGGGTGAGTGAGATCCAGACGCTGACTCCGGACGCCCACTGGCACCACGTCCCCGGCCGAGAGAATCCCGCGGACTGCGCGTCACGAGGACTCTACCCCAGCGAGCTTGTGGACCATTCACTATGGTGGCAAGGTCCGTCGTGGCTGTCCTCCGAGAGCCAACCGTGGACGATCAACTGCGAGGAGCCACCAGAGGATGACCTCCCAGAGAGGCGCGTCCGCGCCCACGTCGCCGCCATCGCCGAACAAAGGACTGAGCCGGAGATGCTTCTTCGATACTCGTCGCTACAACGCCTGCTCCGGATCACTGCGTGGTGCCGTCGCTGGCTGCGGATCCATCGTCAGGACCACCTCGCGCATGGCCAGCCCGGCTTGAACAGCGCCGACGAGATCGAGGACTCCCGGATCTCCTGGTTAAAAATCATCCAGGCTGAAACATACAAAGAAGAACTGAGACACCTGAAGAATGGAAAGCCTCTGCCGACTCGAAGCTCCCTACTGAAGCTAAGTCCTTTTCTGGACAGTGAGGGACTCCTACGCGTCGGCGGGCGCCTTAAACACGCTGCACTGCAGTATGATGCCACGCATCCAACCATACTACCAAGCAGATCTAATTTTACTTGCCTCATCATCGACGACTACCACAAGCGGACGCTGCACGGCGGCACCCAGTTGACCTTGTGCTCTCTTCGCCAGGAGTATTGGGTCCCTCGAGGTCGCGCTCTAGTGAAGAGCCGCATCAGCCGGTGTCTAAGGTGCACCAGATGGCGGGCTGCCATCCCTCAGCCACTGATGGGGGACCTCCCGGCACCACGAGTTACTCCAGGCCGGCCGTTTCTGCATACCGGCGTAGACTACGCCGGACCGATTTGGATGCGAACAGCAGGGGGCCGCGGACTCAAGGCGACAAAAGGTTTTATTGTTGTCTTTATTTGTTTAGCTTCCCGAGCAGTCCACCTCGACGCGGCCTCGGACTACACCGCTGACGCCTTCCTTGCCGCCTTGCGTCGGTTCGTCGCCAGGCGAGGAGTCTGCCACTCGCTATATAGCGACTGCGGCACCAACTTCGTGGGTGCCGATAAGCAGCTTAGGCAACTATTCTCCGCCGCCAGTGCCGACGGACATCGCATCGCAACCTTCGCCGCCCAGGAAAGAATCCGGTGGCGGTTCAACCCGCCAGCTGCACCTAACTTCGGCGGTTTATGGGAAGCTGCCGTGAAAGCGATGAAGCACCACCTTCGGCGAGTCATCGGTGACGCCACCCTCACCTACGAGGAGATGACTACTCTCCTAGCCCAAATTGAGGCCTGCCTCAATTCCAGACCGCTGCAGCCGTTGTCTGACGATCCGGAGGATGTAGCCGCACTCACACCTGGTCACTTCCTGGTCGGCTCCGCTCTCTCGGCGATCCCCGAACCGTCGCTCGAACGAGAGCCGTCGGCACGTCTCTCACGGTGGCAGCTCCTGCAAAACATGAAGGACCATTTCTGGTCTCGGTGGGTCAGCGAATACTTACACACGCTGGCCCATCGGCCGAAATGGTCCCGAATTAATCAGGAGGCTCGCGTCGGTCGAATCTGCCTCGTGCGAAACGAAATAACACCACCAACACGGTGGCCGCTTGCGCGCATTACACGACTGCATCCAGGTTCCGACGGTAACGTTCGCGTAGTCGACGTCCGCACCTCGACCACAAATTTGACGCGTCCCGTGAACAAGTTAGTCTTTCTGACCGACGGCTCCGAAGACTCACTCGAATCGCAATCACGCGTCGTCCGCGTTTAAAAAATTTACACTTTTCTCTATTCCATATTCACATTCATTTATTTTTTTTCACTAAATTTTCATTATTCTCCTCACAATTGTACTTCACACTCACAGTCACTTGCACATCGCCAGCATACGGTCTACGCGACGCTTAACCTATACGCGTCTATACTGACTCCCAGTATAAACAGCTGATCGATTCAGCATTCCGTTCTCTAAATCAATCGGAGCACGTGCGCTCCACGTGTCCGTCACGCACGAGCGCGTGAATAGGCTCGTGCCCCACTCTCGCGCTGAGAACACGATTGCAGGTATATTACTGCAAGGCGGGCGGAATGTTCGAGATTCGAACGGTAATAACCCGCGGACAAGAAAGCGTTAAAATATTCATGCATCTCGATCATGCCTCATGCAGCATGCATATAATTTATTAATTAATATCGTGGTCTAACATGCGTATTTTAAATTATATTTAAATTAGCGCTCGGCCGCGAGAGTATACGGATACTCCGCGCCTTCGAAAATAAGCGCTTAAAACAGTCTAAATTGTAAACACCGCTGTCGCGCGAGAGGAGAGAAAAACAAGTAAATAATTACAGTAAACGTTCCTTCGCCCTTAATATCACAATAGAACGACAGCAAATGTACTCGAATATTCTAGAATTACAAGGTGTATATAAGCCTCCTCTCTCGCGACCGCGGCGCTTTTTCCGATTGCTCATCGCGAATAAAGTGTGTTCATACGATAAAGATTGCTTGTCTTTGTCTAATTCATTACCGTTGCTTGCGGACACTTAGTAATTTACGACTCGGCTAATTCTCTCGGTAAATTCGGTGCGGTATATTAATTGTAATTTTTGTTAATAGTTTATATAAATATATTTTTTTTGTGAACGTTACGCGTGTGTCGAGTGTTGTGTCTATTTCTCGGTCTCGCTTCCGACCACGTCCTATCCATCTTTCCGTCGCGCACAAGCAGTTTCCTGGACGTTGGATGGGTCGGTATGGCCCGATACGTTGGCCCGCAAGATCCCCGGACCTTAATTCTCTTGATTTCTTTTTATGGGGATACTGTAAGGAATCAATATACAAAACGCTTCCCGAGAACGTCGACGACTTAGAAACCAGATTGCGATATGTAATTTGGAATATCGAAGAGGAAGTAATGGAGAACGTCCAATTAAATTTATTTAAACGCATGCGAGCTTGCATAAGGATGGATGGTGGTCATTTTGAGCACCTATTATAAATTAATCCGCTCTTTTCAGAGCGACCAAAGTCAATCCGCTCTTTTCAGAGCGACCAAAGTCAATCCGCTCTGAAAAGAGCGACCAATACATTTATACATGGAACATCTTGTTCGCAAAACATAATCATTTTTCTCACGTCTCGCTTAAAAAGAAAGGGCAAAACGGGCGGATAATGTTAAGTCATTAAAAAAAATGTATTATAACGTAAAAAATTATAATACGTTATAATATGCCTTTTTTAATAACATAATTATTATACGTTTTAATACATGTCTCGCGTCAATCACATGTTCGGCAACGCCGCGTGATTGTTATCGTCTAGACGTGTCGCGAAGCGTCGCGACGCGTTGCGTCATCCGTCGCCGCAGTCTGTTGTCGTGTCCTTGCCGTGTAAACAATTGTCGTCCGCATCGAGTAACGTGTGCCTTTTTACAAGTAATTTTTAATAATTAATCGGTACACTGAGAGAATTTTCTCTTAAAATTTACCCTAAAAGTTATGGTAATTGTGAGACAATACGGTATGAAAAGAATTTTATTAAAATTTCTCTGATTAATATTTATCACATTAAAAATAATATCTATCACAATAAAATATGAAATATGTGTGATTAATTTTACTAAACTGTATAGTAAAATTAATCAAACATATTTTATATTTTCTTGTGATACATATTATTATTTTTAATATAATAAATAGTAGAGAAATTCTAATAAAATTCTTTCCACATTGTTGAAGATTCGTTCTTCGGATCGAATCCTCGAGGACGATCGAATTTTCTAGAATGTTTTTTTGTTAAATTCCTTAGTGTTTACGCCAAGGAAACACGTGAAACCAACGTGTACACTCGCCGCTAATTGGCGTGTGTACATCGCCTGATTTTCTGATGGTCCAATCGAGGACCCCGATCGGCTGCCGCCCTACGCGAGCTCCGAAATTCGCGCAGCCCTCGAGTCAGTCCTCGAGAGAGCGAGCGCCGAGAAACATAAGTCTCGGTACGCGACGAACTTGTAGAAAGTGAATAAACTAATTTATAAGAGTTTTAACAAGGCTCTGTAATATAAATATAAATTTAACGTATAAGACGGGCAACAAGAGCCAAATCGCGGATGACAATGCGTTATCCTAACGAAACTAAATAATTTTCCGTTAGAATTAAATACCGGTGCACAAGGCACCAAATTTTACTTGGACACGGCCAAGATTTTAAAATATAAAATAATCTTATATTTGAGATTTAATTTCAATACCCCCTTTTTTTTTAACCCCCCTACGGAAATTAAATAAATGAATGCAAGAGAAACATATAGATCCGAAAATCGGGGATTCCCGATTCAGCGATTTTCGGATCTATATTTTTCTCTTGCATTCATTTATTTAATTTCCGTAGGGGGGTTAAAAAAAAAAAAAAAAAAAAAAAGGGGTATTGAAATTAAATCTCAAATATGAGATTATTTCATATTTTAAAATCTTGGCCGTGTCCAAGTAAAATTTGGTGCCTTGTGCACCGGTATTTAATTCTAACGGAAAATTATTTAGTTTCGTTAGGATAACGCATTGTCATCCGCGATTTGGCTCTTGTTGCCCGTCTTATACGTTAAACTAATTTAAACCGTTTCAAAACGCGTACAATCATTTGATCACGTTAACCCGGCATCCTACAACGTTAAATCTTATACATATAAAATGGTCCTTCGAGCCGGATTTTAAAAACCGATCGAGTGATAGTGAAATCGCGAAAAGAACGGGCTCCTTTGTTTCGTACCTTATTCGAACGATTGACAATTTCTGCCTCGTGTGCCTATATCGGGGCAGTAAAGTTAAAAACGCAGTGATCCGCGGCACGAGAAATCCGCTAATTACGCGTTCTCGTTTGGAGTAGAAAGACTCCGTGTGCGGGAGTGAGACCGCGCTACACAACAATTAGCCG